TAGGTTTCTTTGTGTTAGACCTCAGAGTTCCAAACACATTCTTTTTTACTGTATGTGTTTGAGTCATAGGTCACCAGTCGCCATCACGGTGACAGGCTGGAATTCTTTTCTTCATTCTCATCTATACCTGTTTACTAATCAATTTGTCCATTCATTAATCATAAAAAAAATCTGTGAATAATAAATACTCAAGGACAAGATTCTTAATATCTCTAATATTTATCTCTAGAAGCATCTGCCTCAATGAATATGCCTATGAGATTAATCAGCTTCATTGATACAAATACCCATTCATTGACATCAAGTTTCATGTCAATTCCATACTTATTATGTGAGTATGACTAGTCTTCTTTGAACATATTTAATACTATTTTTTAGCATTACACTGAATACTTTATCTGAACCAAGAGAAGAATTTGGCTGTGACTTACATGCACCGCTACAGAGGGCCGACCAATGGAGCTCCTGATGATGGCCAAGGGCTCGGTCAGCTACAGGGTGTCCATGCTGAGGAATACAAGCAGAGAAGATTGGAACGAAATTGAGAGACGATCTACTGAGCCACACAGTCACCTTCCATTTAGCCAATCACTCAAGAATATAATATGGACTCATGAACAAACCAAACAATATCGAACTTGACACAGACCATGAATTAAAAACTTTGACTATTATTTACTGTCTGTATCATTCTTAATCAAAGAGGGAAGACAACTGAACCATTTACATTTCTTAATGAATGACAGTATTTTCAATAAGCATTAGAAATGTTTATTGTCTCATCCTCATCATCTTATTTATTCTTCTTCATTGGTTCTTTTTGAACCATTTATTAAAATAGAATCAAAATTCATGAAAATGAACCAAGGAAATGGTCCTTTTTAATTCCCTAATATCTGTCTATAGGATCCCTTCAAACAAAGGCACTAGACTATGTCTCTCTCTTTACTGGACCTCAGAGTTTCAGACACATTGTATTCATCATCTCCGTGACTCTTACTCCAGCAACAATCATCATTGGTCCATGCTGTGGCCTGTTTGTCTTCATGCTCATTGTTCTATCTCTCTCATTAGTTATCATCAATATTTCAAATTTGTATTAGTAAATATAATGCTTCATAATATCTCATATTTATCATTTCCTATGGTTGGTGTGGGGCTTAAATTTCACACTTTTAGCAATACAATGAATACCCTTTTAAAAAATTCTTAAACAAACACAAGAACTGTAACCTTTACTCACATTTCATCTCAATGCTTTACACAGAGGAAACCATAGATCTTGTTACCATGGAAAACACTTAAATCAGCTTGAGCATGTTGATTCTGAGGAGTACAAGACAGAGCAGATAATTAAAAATTGAAACCTTTCCTCCATTAGTTGATTTCTTTCTCATTTCATTTTATCAGTTATTTAGGTATTTATTCTTCAGAACATATACATATAAAATATAAATATACATATTAAAAATTAACACCCTTAAATCAAGACTGACACAGGCTAATAAAACTGTATATTAATTCTCAGTGTCAGTGTTCATATAATCCTTAGAAAAGAGATAATGCACTTGGTCCATTTCTTTCTTAACATCAGTTGTTCATTTTATGTTAATTGTATTTCTTCATCACCATATATATACTTGATAAGTCTTCATCCTTGTTTTATTTAGTGATATATCTGTTTATTGGTTCTATCACTGATTCATTGATATTAATGGTAATATACTAGAAATCCATGAATCCAACAGGACAACAACAATTTCCTTGCATATTCCTAATGAGAGAGGAAACAGACTAGATTTTGTTTGGTTGTGGACCTCAGACTTCCAGACACATAGCAATCATAGTACCTCCTTCATATGCCATCAGTGATCATCATTGGTCCAGTTTTGGGCCTCTTCTTCCTCATTCTCACCTACAGTTGTTAATTGTTCAATCTACTCCTAATAATTAAACACATCTGTGTGAATCACAAAAATGCAAGGACAAGAGCCTAAAGATTGTTGTCACACGCCTTTAGGACCAATGGCTTATTGATTATACCTCTTTTCATTAATCATCCCCATTATTCCAAAGGTTAGGTAGTCAACATAATGTTTCGGACATTTCCAGTTTAATCATTGGACCATGGTTGGTCTTTTTTCCACTTTTTAAATTACTACAGTGATATCCTAAACAAACTTCCCTGGCCAAGACAAGACCTTGGATTATTACTCACACTGGCCTTCATGCCCCTCCATGGAGCTTCTGAACACAGCAGATGCTGAATCCCCTTCAGGCGGCTTTGTTCTGAGAAGTGAAAAGCAAAAGAGACGATAACAAGATGGAAACATGACCGCGCCTTACATTTAGTCAATCATGTAGAAGACAGTAATGGGGGCTAATACTTAATATTATACTTTTAGTGACCAGAATAAGATCGAAGATGGAAGGTATTGGAACCATTTATTTTTGGTAACGGAATACAGTATTTTCAATAAACTGGAATATTTTTTATTCCTTCACCACAGATTACAAGTGTATGATGTGGTTGAGCGTCGACCTCTGAATCAGGAGGCCGAGGTTTGATTCCCGAAAGGGGCGCATGCTCTGGTTGTGGGCGTGGTCCCCAGTGCGGGGTGTGCAGGAGGCAGCCAATTAATTTTTCTCTCTCATCATTGATGTTTCTATCTTTCTCTCCCTTCCTCTCTGAAATCAATTAAAAAAATTTTTTTAAAGAGTGCATGTTATTCATCTCTGATTTTTAAAATTTGTACCTTGATTCTGAAATTGATCCATTTATAAAATAATAAAAATCCATTCATTTCTACATTTGTATCAAATAAATCATTAATTCATTAATAATAATTAAATGAACACATGACTCACAATATCCAAGGACAAAATTGTTGAATATCTCTCACATTTGTCTATAGAATCATTTCCCACAGAGGCTAATTCCTTTTCATTAATCAACCTCAATGCTGTACATTATTGATTAATAATATAATGTTTTTTTTATCATTTGTCCATAGTTAATTTTTTATTATGTTTAATATTTTTTAATAATTCAATAAATATATTTAAACAAATAATGCAGTCTAAGATGACAACTTAATGAACTTCAGTATTTTCAATAAATATTCATCTTTTTCATCATTCTTATCTGCATAAGTTCATTTATTAATTCATTGATTCACTAATATTAAATTTTAAAACTATATGATTCATAAAAAACAAGAATAAGAGTAATAAATGTTCCACATATAGGACCATTTGCCATATTGATATATCTCTTTAATTATCATCAATGTTTCATGTATGATTAATAAAGATAATCTTCAGACCAATCCCATATTTATAATTCACGATAGTTGGCATCTTGGACTATATTTCACATTCTTGATGACACATGAATATTTGAGAGAAAAAAATCTCAAAGACATGAACTGTTTCAATGTATTACTCACATTGGTCTCTACTCACTACACAAACAGGCAACCATAGAGCACGTGACCACGGATGGTGCTTCAATCTGCTCAAATGCGTCCATTCTAAGGAATACAGAATAGAGCAGAAGGTGAAAAAATTGAGACCTCCTCTAAATTGACCCTTTTCCCCCTTATTTCATTTACTCAGTCATAAAGGCTTATACACATATATAAACATAAATATAAATTAATGATATGACTCCTTAGATAAATAATGCCCTTTGTCCATTCATTTCTTATCAGATTTTTCAGTTTATATTAATATTTCTTGCCTCACCATATATATTCATAGTTGATAAGACCAACTTAGTGAAGCCTTGTTTCCTTAGTGATATATTTGTTTATTGGTTTTTATCATTGATTCATTGATATTAATAGTAATATACTAGAAATATATTAATCCAAAATTACAAGACCAATAGGAACAATTGCCAGAGAGGAAATACATTAGATTTTCCTTTGTTTTAGACCTCAGACTTCCAGACACATAGCAATCATAGTACTTGCGTCATATGCCATTAGTCATCATCATTGGTCCAGTTTTGGGCCCCCTTTTCTTCATTCTCATCTATATGTTTATACATTAATTCATCAATCGACTAATAATAATTAAATACATATCAATGAATCACAAAAGATCAAGAACAAGAGCCTAAAAATCTTTATCATTTTTTAAGAATCATTGGCTAATTGAATTTTATTAATCATCTTCATAATTTAAAAGATAGATTAGTCAACATAATATTTCATATATTTCCAACGTAATTATCAGAATATAGTTGATATTTTTTCTTATATTGAATATTTTAAAATATATACACAGAGAATACCCCAAACAAACCACCCAGAGTAAGATGAAGACATTGAAAATGACTCACGTTGGTCTTCATGCTCCTACAGGCCAATAGAAAGATCACTGACCAAGGCATAATGCTTTATTCAGCTTGGGTGTGTCCATCTAAAAAGTAGAAAGCAGAATAGATAACACGATTGAGATATTTTCTCTATTGGTCTTTGCATTTACATTAAATTATTTGGTGATTAAGTTATATATAATTCTTTGGTAATTTTATTAAACTTTCCACTAACCCCAATATTGCTCATTATTTATATCATCTATAACTTCCTCAGTTAAAGGTATGTTGGACCTCAGAGTTAAAGGGTATTCACCATCAATGACTCATACGCCACCAGTAGTCATCATTGGTCCAGGGTTAGCCTTTTTTATCCAGTCTCATTTATGTTTATTCATTAATTCATCAATTTATCTGATTGTAATAAAATAAAAAAATATGAAGCACAACGAAACTTAAGAGCATGAGCCTGTACTAGTCCTATATCTGTCTATAGGATCATTTATGACATCAATATGTCTTTCATTAATCATCCTCAAAGTTTCACATAGGGATCAATCACTATAATGTGACATATCAATTCCATATTTAATAGTGGACCATGGTTGGCTTTCTTTGGTTATAATTCACACTTTTCAAATACAGAGTATATGTTCACAAAACTCACATTTGTTTCTAGGCACCAAACAGACAGACACCAGACATCTTGAGACCACGGGAGAATCTGCAGTTCAGGCCCAGTGCTTCCGTTCTGAGAAGTGAAAAGCACAGAGGGAGATGGAAAGTTAAGACTTTCTCTACACTAACTTTGCTTTCTGCATTTAACTTACTCCGCAACTTAAATATTTACTCATTTTCATAACTTACAATGCTTCACACATTTCTATGAATTTACTTGTATGTGTTTTTTAGTTCTTTCACTAATCTATGCTCATAGAATCATTATCCATGAACACAAAAAGTGAAGAACATAATCTTTGCATGTTCTAACATCTGTCACTATGGCCATTTCCAACAGAGGAAATAGACTAGATTTCTTATTGTGTTGGACCTCAGAGTCCCGACATACAGTATTCATCATCCATGACTCATACCCCACCAGTCGTCATCATTGGTCCAAAATTGGCCCTCTTCTTCTCCATTGATTTCTAATTTTCTTTATTAGTTAACTTATCACTTCACTAATAAATAAATAGATAAATCGCAAAAACTTAACAAGATTTTTAAGTTTTATAGCCATGTGATCATTTATCAGCTTGATTACATCTTTTATTAATCAATATTTTGCAAATATTGATTAATCAGCACAATGTTCATCTGGCATGTTATTATGACATCATGAGAATGTCATATTTATCATTGGGCCATGGTTGGCCTTCTTGAATTCTGTTAACAATACAGGAAATATCCTTTAAGAACTACCAAATCAAGACAAAGTCTTTGACTATACTCACATGAGTCTCCATGCTGCTAACACATGGAGGTCACTAGAGAGCTTCTGACCATGAAAGATGATTACATCTGCAGGGAACGATCATTCTGAGAGTACAAAGCAGAACAAATGATTAAAATATGGAAATATTCTCTTCATTTATCCTGAATTCCTCCTATCATTTTATTAGACATTTAAGTCTATATTAAATTATGATATTTTTTCTTGAGAAAACAATGTTGAAGAAGGCACAGAACAAATAAGAGCATGGACTGTTATTTGTAGTGTAGGTATCATTCCTTAGATAGAGAGGTAATGCCTTTAAGACATTTATTTCTTAATGAACTTCAGTGTTTTTAATATATAGTAATAGTATTTCTGGACTCACCATATATTTACATAATTGGACAATGCTACACCCTATTTATTCATAAATTTATATTCTTTCCATTTATATTAATAAAATTAAATATCATGAACACAAAACTAAGAACAAAATCCTTGAATATTCTTAACATCTGTCCATAGGAATATTTCAACAGAAGGTACAGATTAGATTATATACTGTGTGAAATAAACAGGCACATAGTATTCATCATCCATGACTCATACTCCACCAGTCATCACCATTGGTCCGGATTGGCCCTCATTATCTTCAATTGGGTCTACATGTTTTTACTAATTAATTCATCCACTAATAATAATAAAATAAATGCCTACAGGCCATAAAACTTGAAACTAGATCCTTGAATTTTCCAGTATTTCTCTACAGAATTACTTCCCACTAACAGTATAGATATACTTATATAAATCCTATATTGTCAGTAGGAAGTAATTCTGTAGAGAAATATATATATATATCTTTCATTAATTGACTCCAATGCTTGCTATATAAATGAATTTAAACTTTAACCCCGTTTGCAATTGAAGCTGACTAAATTGTGTCTCTGTAAAGGGAGGTTAAAATGAACTGTGACTCAGAATTAAAATTGAATAATACATTTTACATTAATTAATTGAATAATTAACTCTTAAAATGAATAAATGGTCTTATTTTTTTCTCCTTAGTTGACCTCAGATGTGCTAAATTGGCCCACACATAACCTTCATTCATTTTATTTGTATATGTAACTATTTATTTCCTTTCAATAAGAGTTAAGACCCTATGCCCTAGCTGGTTTGATCACTGGATAGAGAGTCAAGGGTCCTGGGTTTGATTCCAGTCAAGGGCACATGCCTGGGTTGCAAGCTCAATCCCCAGTAGGGGGTGTGCAGGAGGCAGCCAATCAATGATTCTCTCTTATCACTGATGCTTCTCTCTCTCTCTCTCTCTCTCTCTCTCTCTCTCTCTCTCTCTCTCCCTTCCTCTCTAAAATCAATAAATATATATATTTTTTTAAGAGTTAAGACCCATGACAAACCACCAAGTCAGAAGTGATTCCTTTGAGTTAGCTAATATTTCTACATTCCTTTAATTGAATCATGTGTGCATTCATTCTGTAAATGCAAAGCAAATATAAAAATAGATTAGATTAGATAGGCCGATAGATCAGCATAGAGTCAGATTTTTTAAATTGATCTAAGTCAACAATATTTGATTAAGAATAAACCTTAGTGTTTGTTATATATTAAAAATCTGAATAGCTTATTGATCAATTGCTTCAAATATTAAATTTAACTTATATAATGAACACCTTTGAAACCAACATCAGACAAAAGAATAATGTTAACTTATTCTTTTACACATAATAATATCATTAATAGAGAAACAGGATAATATTAATGCCTGTCCATATATTCATTGGGCACAAAAAGAAAAGACCAAATAATCTTTTCTATTCTTTTTAAATTAAAAAAATAGTGAAGATCATTGAATTAATCCTAACTGGTCATGTGACACATTCAACATAGTCTGTGTCTAAGTCCTCTCAATTATGCAGTGATTTAATCAATGATTAGTTTAAGTTGATGTTTTGTCCTTTTCTATAAAACAAAAAACCAATAACTCAGCCGAGAAAAATAACATCGGCTCTTATATCCATTTATCTAAATGCTCTTTACCCAAAAGGGTCAGCTCTAATAAATTTATTTATTTTACTGCAACAGTGCTTCAGAAATGTATTAACAATGATTTTATATTATATATATTACACTCCATATTCTCATATTTGAATCAGGAATAATCCATTTTCTCTTTATTCATTTATATGTTTCTTCAATGATTCATTCATTGATTTAGTGAAAATACAATACTCAGAAACCCAACAACAAACTCCTTCATATCCATAACTCCTAGCGTAATCTCATGTGCCATTCAGATCACAAAGAGGAATGTTCTGGTGATGGACCCCAGAGTACAGGGTTTAATCAAAATGCTTGATTTCAGAATGATCCAGGCACACTCATCATTGACCAGGGTAAACAATATTTTTCTACATTTATACTTTTGTTTATTGATCCACTAATAGTAATAAAGTCAATATTCATTATTTTTTATAAAAGCCAAGAACATCCTTGACTATGACCAAGATGTCTTTCTAGGCTCTTTTGCCATGAACTCAATTTTTTTCTCAATAGACTAGATCTCTTTCTGCAGTGGCCATCAGTGAGGGAACAATGAACATCCTTTCTTCACACCTATCCTATCCCAACTACCTTCCATCTCCGGATGCACGCCTCCCTCAGTGAGGAGCCACCAAGGAGAACTGTGCATGATAACATGAATGTGCTATGACTGGGCTCTCCGATACGGTCGCCATTAGCCACAGGTAACTAAGGACTTCAAATGTGGCGAGTGCAACTGAGGAACTGAATTTAACATTCACCTTTCTTTTAAATTTAAATGGTCACATATGGCTAGGGGCAACCAAATTGGACCGTGCAGCCCAAGAATTTATTGCTGGATAAATGTTTAAATCAAATGCAGAGCAAAAATAAGACAGATTATTAATCAGAGAAAATGTCTTCCATCTTGTTTTTAATTGCAATTGTACTGAATTGGTTTAACCCTTAATCTTTGTGTCATAACACATTCATATTAGGAACGTTAACAAGTTATTTGACCATATTAACCTCAGTCTTTAGGTTTCTTACCCTAACAGCCAAGATCTTCATCAGCAGACTGATGACACCAACCGTGGTCTTCAATCTGTGGAGCCAAATATATGCCAAGTTCAAGGCCATGAGCAGTCCATATCTACACTGATTTAAATGACATTACTTTTGTGGCACTAGGTTAGTCATAGAGTCGATTCAAGTCTCATTTTTATCATTGAAAAATTCAGTCTATATCCATAAAGTGATCAAGGGGCCTGAACAGCCTCAATTTCTGCTATAAGCTCATTTCCATAAGGAAGAGCAGAGGATACTCTGTGATAATGGACCTGAGAGTTACCGATGGCTTTAATCAATGTTTTTGATTCAGACACCCTCCAAATTCATCATTGGTCCAGGCTTGGCCCTCTTTTTCTTAATTCATTTATACTTTCAGTTGCCCATGAATCACAAACTTCCAAGAACAAGGTCCTTGATACAACTACGGTCTGTCTCTAGACTGACTTCTCACAAAGTTTTAGACTAGATCTCAGTGTGAACCTTGCTTCATACAATATCTCTGCTCAAAATGGCCCATGGTTTGGGCCGTGTCCATTTAACTTGGCCAATTTAAAGCATGACGTCATAGACACTCAAAACCCACAAGGGAACCCCACATCTAGGACAAAGACAATGTGTTCCACCTTCTAAGAGCTTCCTCTCAACAGTTAGCCTGGATTCCTACCAATATGTAATACTTAAATCAACTGTGGTGCAGAAATAATAGGGAATAGCAAACAATTCTCAAAACTAATTAAATGCCTTCCGTCGTTTGAAGAAATGAATCTCGGGTGTACTATAATGGGTTAATTTTTTATAAATTTATCTTTATTGTAGAAAGTGTTACAGATCCCACTTTGGGTTTTTGTTGTTGTTGTTTTTCTCCCAATGACCCCCTCCTCTCCGCCCCTCCCAAGCCTTGGCCACACTATTGTCTGTGTCCATGGGCTATGCATAGATGCATAGAAGTTCCCCGTTAACTATCTCCCCCCTACAAACTACAAACCCCCTTCTTCTCTCTGAAAAGAGGGTAATAGTTTTAGGTACCAAACACATCCCATTTGGGGTCTATACTTGGTTTTCTTGGACTTTATTTGTTTATATAGCTTTGTCCCACTAAACCACCTCAGTGACCACACATGACCAAACCATATCAGCCGAGAACAGAAACTGTGTTACTTACATTGCCCTTTTCCCACAGACAGAGGTAACAGCTAAGATATTCCTCAATGGACAAGGTCTGAATCCCAGGTGGAGTGTTCATTCACGAGAAAATGCAGATTTTTAAAAAGATGAAAGGGGTAAATTGAGATTTTTAAATAGTAGTTCGTTGATCACTACTAAATTATTCATAAACTTTAGTTTGTGTCACATTTTCATCAACCCAATAGCCATGTACTTTTCATCTATTAATCTACCATCAAACATAAGAATTATAGCTATGATTAATATATTCATATCTGCCTATATACCCCTACCAAATAGCAAAAAGGACACCACTTTTTATTGGGGAAAAATTTTACCAAATGAGACTGTTTCTTGAAACACTAAGTGAAGTTAAATCTATCCACTGGGACATGCTGTGCTTCCTTTCACATATTTATTGATTAACTTATTTATTCAGTTAGTTAATAACTCTAAGGTTAATTTAACTATCTGCTCTCTTTTCCTAAGGGAATCACAAAAGGACAGAGACATTGGCTACCCAAAGCTCCACAGATTACACGCAACTTTCTGTCTCAGCACCGTCTGCACTGATGGAACTTGCCACAGTGATGAGATGTTGCTTATGGGCACTGCCCAATATGGCAGACACTGGCCACACAGGGCTAAAATGTGGCTAGTGCCAATGAGACATTGAATGTTCTTATTAAATCAATTTGAATTGGAATGCTAATAGAAAGATGCATTTAGAGGGGCCTGGATCTTTGTTATTTAAGTGACTTTACATAAGGTGAGAGCAGGATGAATCCCGCCTCTGCATCCACCACATATTGCCTCACTGCCCCCCTTTATGCCTTTCTAAGGGACTGGATATGAAATTATTATTTCACTCGCTTATGATAGCACCTAAGGACAATGGGCGAGGACACTGCTTGGAGCTAAACTTATCCATTGGCTTTTTCTATACAAAATGCATTTACATTTTAGTTTTTAAATGAAAAATCAATGAACACAAGGGAATTAGCAGTCACATTTCTCAGTGCCCATATTTAGACCTTTTCCACATTTCAATAACTATCTAATCATTTGCATACTATAGTTATTATTGGTTATATTAGATGATTATACATTAAAATAATTTTATACTGTGTTTAAAATTTTTTGGTATATTGCTATTGAGCTTATTATATAAAGTATTATTGATTATTATGCAATTATGTAAGTTTTTGTCCCTTTTTAAAATAAAACCTACAACAGAAACTCACCACCAACTCAGAAAAACAACATCTATCCGTTGCCTCAAGTCTACTTTATTTGAACTCAAAATTTCAAAAATGTATTACCAATGACCCTTGGTTCATTGGCTCCTCTCCTAATTAGGTAAGGAGCAACCCTCCTCTTTATACTGTACTCATGTGTTGATGTACTTATAATCATATAATTCATATTCATGAACAACAAAACATCAAGAACACATCATTGAGTTTTCCCAGTTTCCTCTGTAAGCACATTTCCCATTGACGCAGTGGACCTCAGGAGCCGCTGGGTAATCAGAATATTTTTTCAGAATGCCCCAACCATTTCTTCATCATCGATCCAGACTTGGTACTCCGTGCTTTCATTTAATATCTTGTTCTTGACTTATTCATCAGTTTATGAATAATAATACAATCAATGTCCATGAATTATGGAAACAAAACCGAGTTCCTTGAGGATATGAATGTGTCTCTGAAACCAGTTCCCCCAGAGTTGGAGGCGTGGCACCTCAGCATAGTCTAGACCAGCGGTTCTCAACCTGTGGGTCGCGACCCCTTTGGGGGTCGAACAACCCTTTCACAGGGGTCGCCTAAGACCATCGGAAAACACATATATAATTACATATTGTTTTTATGATTAATCACTATGCTTTAATTATGTTCAATTTGTAACTATGGAAATACATCCCGCATATCAGATATTTACATGACGATTCATAACAGTAGCAAAATTACAGTGATGAAGTAGCAACGAAAATAATTGTACGGTTGGGGGTCACCACAACATGAGGAACTGTATTAAAGGGTCGCGGCATTAGGAAGGTTGAGAACCACTGGTTTAGAGGCTGTACAAGGTGCTGTGCTTAGTATTTTACTAAGACAGGGCAATTCATTTGAGTGAATGGCGGGAACATGAGCTCTGATTATTACTTACATTGATCTCTTCTCTCTTTACTCCAAAGAGGGAAAAAGCAAGACTGTCACCACGAGATAATAATATAATCTGATAGCGTTCATTCTGAGGAGTAAACAACAAATTTTTAAAAGAATCAGTATACCTTGAGCTATCTTAAAGGATCAATAACAATTAATCAAAGACTTAAGTCCTATTCTAACATTTGTTAAGAGAGAGCATCCACTACCTTATATTTACTAATATGTGCAATTTTATTTTTTTTAATATATTTTATTGATTTTGGAGAGAGGAAAGGAGGAGAGAGATAGAAACATCAATGAAGAGAGAGAATCATTAATCGATTGCCTCCTGCATGCCCCACACTGAGGATCGAGTATGCAACCACGTGCTCTGACCAAGAACGGATCTGTGACCTCCTGGTTCATAGGGCAATGCTCAACCACTGAGCCACGCTGGCTGGGCAATATGTGCAATTTTATATTTTAAGTAATATAATGAGCACCAGTGTTGCTAACATTAAAAAGAAACAAACTATTTTTATAGGAATATCTGTCTGTACTTGCTGCACACATAGATAACAGCCAAGATCATCTTTTATGTTGAACTTTGTGCAGAACTGGATATATGGCAGATTCAATGCATGGCACAATCTCACCAATGGTCCAAGTTTAACTCTACTTAATATATTTATTCAGTCACTTGCTTTACTTAATTACTGTGGGGTAAGAAGACCATCTCTTCATTTTCCTAAAAGAATTCCCAAAAATATAAACAACCATCAAAATAGAACTGAAACATTGTTATTTGCCAATGTTTAATGCACCCTTGGAAAGTCCTAGAACCCTTGTCTTCCTATGGATATCAGTTGTGTAAAACATGATGAAGCATGATGTTTACACCCAATTGCATGCTTCCCATTGATGTATTATTGGCTGATTGAAATATAAATGTATACGTTTGTTCATTTATAATTATACTTCAACGTATGTGAGACCACCCACACGGGATAAGTACCTCAATAATATTTACATATGTCCTTCGCCAAAAGAATAGCACACTGGTTCCTTTAACGAAGGTTTGCTTACACAAAATTGCATTAAAAGGTTGCATTAATCATTACTGTGTTTGTATAAAACAGTCTCATCATTGCTCCATGCTCTCTCCCTCAATTCCATAGTTTATTCAATCAAGGATTTATGTAAATGTACTTCCCTTTCCTTAATAAAATGACCAATTGGCAATCTGCCTCAACACAGAACCAAAACATTGCCTCTTAACAGATGACCATATGCTCCTTACTAAGGTGCTAAGAGCCTTGACTACTAATTCATTGGAATTGAGAATTTCAAAATTGCCTTTTAATAATTGTCCATGTTTCATTCAATGGGATAAAAGTAGTGTACATGTATTACTCTTACTTTTCATTCATTGACATATTTCTTTATGTGTGTGTTCATTTTATTATAATAATGCATTCACACCCCAAACCGCAAAGCCCAAGAAAAAGGTTCTGTAGGCTCATTAGGAGATAATGAGGTGTGTCAGAGCAATGGACCTCAGTCTTAGGCTTTAATCAAAATTCTTGCTTCAGAAACCCCATGACATTTATCACTGGTCCATGCTGGGAATTTTTTAAAAATGATGATTACTTTCCTGGTTCACAAGTAATAATATAATTATAAAATTCCAAAACAAGATCCTTGAATTTCAGGCTCTTGTCGCAAAGAACTAATAAACTCCATCTCTGTGTAATGGCACTCAAGCTGCACACGGGATGGGACCACATCCCTGCGTTTATACTCAGCGTTCTTCCTGTGTGGCCCTCTCTCATTTCATGTGTCCATATGTCAAAGATGTTTCCATTAAAAATAATGAAAGCACCTTCTGCAAGTCTCTGCCCCCATAGAGTTACCCGCCAGCTCTATGCACATGAGAATGTGTGCGTCAACCCTGGCTATATTAAACTGTGCTGAGAATGAATCCAATAACTTCTACATCTTTTAAAATTGCCTCAGTTGTACTGATTTACATTAAACATAACATTTGGATTATAATCCATTCCCATCATTGGCCCACACTTAGAGTGTTTTATTTATTTCATGTATGTAGTACAGAATGATTACTTTAAATTTCTTCAGATAACGCCCAGGAACAAACACTCCAAGCAGAGAATGTAAACTAGGGGACTCGCTTATATTACTTTATGCACCGTGCTCACCAAGACAATTCAGCTGTCCCCCGTTCACTCTGGAGAGGAAACAGCAGGTTTAGACTAGATTTAGATTCTTTTTATTTTTTTTATCAACCCAGTATTAAAGTCTTAGCTTTAAATAATATAACAAACACTACTACATCCACCATGTAGCCCAAGATTAAGATCTATGTTTACAAATCTCCAACTATATGAACATTTATTCATTAGATGGTTATTTAATATACTACTGATTGACTCACTTTCCCTTTCTTTAATATTAGAAAAAAACACCCAGCAAATGACTAAAACTCGAAAACTGCCTAACTACACATGCTAATATGTTCCATGTGAAAGAGGATTATAAACTAAACCTGTTCATTTTCCTTCAGAATTATATTAAGTTCTTTTACTGCACTGTCCCAATTGTTCCATGAATAAGCCTCTTCGTCGTTCATAGATATATTTCTGTGTGTTTTCATGTATTGATTCTACTGGAAAGAATACAACCTATACCCATGAATCACAAAAGCCCAGACCCAAGTTTATTGAATTTTCCTAACTCCTACTCTTAGCTAATTTCTACAGGGAATATTGACTAGTTCTTTTTCCATGATGGACCTCAGAGTCACAGAGACTTAATGAAAGGGGTGTGTTGACTCAGATACCTGCACCACTATTCATCATTGATCCAGGCACAGCTTTCTATTGCTTCTCTCAATCATGCCCTTTTTAACTGATTCATACATTCATGGATTCATGAATAATAGTAATTATGTAATCAATAAACTCTAATGACACAAAACTGAGAAGGAAAGCCTTAAATGCAACCAAGATCTGTCCTTGCCCTTGTCCACCTGGAACAAATTGACAATCACTATCCACAGAGTTAGCCAGCACCGTCCTTCAGGTCAGAGCCTGACTTATGACTAGTGTCCACCTGCTCCTCTCACTAGTTGGTGTAATCAGTAACCACACACCTGTCTGTTACCTTAGCCCACAAATGACAAAACTGACATCTGCTATCTTGGAAGGTACTCTAGCCTCAAACTACGGCCCGCAGGCCACATGCAAATACAAATATTGTATTTGTTCCCGTTTTGTTTTTTTACTTCAAAATAAGGTATGTGTAGTGTGCAGGGGAATTTGTTCATAGTTTTTTTTTAAACTATAGTCCGGCCCACCAACGGTCTGAGGGACAGTGAACTGGCCCCCTGTTTAAAAAGTTTGAGGAGCCGAAACCGGTTTGGCTCACTGGATAGAGCGTCGGCCTGCGGACTGAAAGGTCCCGGGTTTGATTCCAGTCAAGGGCATGTACCTGGGTTGCGGGCACATCCCCAGTAGGAGATGTGCAGGAGGCAGCTAATCGATGTTTCTCTCTCATCGATGTTTCTAACTCTCTCTCTCCCTTCCTCTCTGTAAAAAATCAATAAAATAAATTTTAAAAAAAAAGTTTGAGGACCCCTGCTAGTGACTAGACTAATCATAAACTCTATCTCACAGCACATTCTTATCATCTTCTCAACAATGGCAATCTTATCTTTACTTAAATTTTACTACTAAATAATATGAACACCATTGAGTTCGTTGTTCAATACAAAATAAAAATTATACCAATTAATGACCTGTGACTTTATTTGCTACCTACATAGGGAGAGGCAAAATAATATTTCTATTGGACTTATTTGTGTAGAATTAGGCATATTTAATTTTTTCATGGTACAATCTCATCGGTAGGTACAATCTCATCAATCCTCTACTCTATGTATTTATCAATTTATTCACTGGTTTATTTTATTATTGAGGGAATAACAATACCATGTCCTCATTTTTCTAAGGACCCAAAATGGTTAAACAACAATCCAGAACCAAATTATTTTAACTTGGAAAGTTCTAGGTGCACCTTTCAAATAATAGCAGAGCCCAGACTTCGTCCTAGAATATGTGTTGCTGGGAGCAAAGATGAATTGGTATCCTCATGTCAAAATGTGTTCCTACTTGGTCTGTGGTTTGCTGAAGGTTCAAACATAGATTAAGATAAAAAAATTATACTTCTCTCTATACAAAGACTTCAGTCTCTGAGATCTTACTTACAAGATAAAAACACGGAACTCTACCGTCAATAACAGACTTGCTTCTGTTTTGTTCTTTAATAAAAATCAGTAAAAAGGTTAATCATGAGTATTGTCATATAAAACATTCTCATCTTTGGTCTCTGTGCTTGGTTTTCAGTTATGTGGTTATTTAACCAACTATTTATATGAGTAAATGTGTTTCCATTTCCTTAATAAAACAATCAGTCAGCAATCCACCACCAACACAGAACAAAAACTCTGACTGTTAATGTGCAAGTGACAGTGTATATGGTCCTTTCCAGAGCAGGGAGAGCCTTTACTTGTAATTCTTTGGAAGTTGAGCCTCAGCCAACTTTTAATAATAATCCATGTTTCATTAAATTTCTTGATAATAGGTGAATGACCTATCTTCTTTTTTCATTCATTTTATTTACTTTTGGATGAATTTTATAATAAAAATTATAATCTATCTCCAAGAATCAAAAAAAGCCCAAACACAAGATGACATGAGTTCATTACTAGTGGACCTAAGAATTGCAGATGGGTTTAATCAAAACTCCTTCAGATACCCCATGGTACTCATCATTGGTCCAAGCATGTTTTTATTCCTTCATGCTTACTTATTCATTGATCCATGAATACCAATACATTCATAAAATTCCAGGAAGATGATCTTCCCATTAGAGTAGATCTCCTTTACAGTAGACCTCAGAGAACATGTGGAATCAATTACATCTATGCTTCATACCAAAGCCACATTGACCATCCATCCTTCTGTGGCTTGCTTTTATTTAATTAGCCCATGTTTTAAAGATGGCTCAGTAAGAGCGGTGAAACCACCATCTTTAATCCCCCTTAAACACTGCATCTTTCATTGGCTATGGGCTGCCACACACATGGATAACAGCCAGGACTATACAAATATGCAAATGGCTAAGTCCTTTGTGGAGGAAAATAATATGTAATATCAAATTTTTCTGAAAAATGAATGAAATGATCCTATCTTTTTTTAATTCCCTCAGTTATCCCAAATTAGATTAGATGTAATTTTTGATTCTGAACATATTCCCATCACTGGTCCACACTTAGGAGTTTTTCGTTCATTTATAATTATTGATTCTTTTGACTAAAGATTTGTGAACAAAACATTCCAACCAATGATGGGAACTTCGAGTCTTATTTACTATGGTTTTTATCCACAGAGCTAACTGCCAAGATTCTATTTCTTCGAAAAATGAAAAAGTCAGCTACCTGGCAGTCATTCTGTGGAGGACAAAGTGGAATTAACCTATATTTTAATGTATGTTAACCACATGGAACTGGATGGCAATAAACTTTGGTCCTCTTTAATTAGTCCAGTATTTTACTTTTAATGGATGCTACTTTCGCAGAATTGAGTATATTTAAATCCCTATTTCACATTTTCAATGACTCATGCTTGATTCTATTGTATATATTTTTATTCATTCACTTATTTATTTAATCACTTATGGGATGATTTAGCCATACGTGCATTATATTTAAAAAAGTCAAATTGGTATGCCAGTCAATAATCAAGAACAGAAATACTGTTGAATGCAATGAGCTACTGAGAGCAGGCTGGGAATTTTTCTTTCAATAAACATCAGTAGTGGAAACCCAAGTTAATCATTATCATTGTTTCATAAATCATGCTATTCATTGATCTGTGCTTTTTCATATTTTTAATAATTATGATAGGATTTTATTCATTCATTCATTCATTATAATAATACTTCAATATCAGCAAATGCAAAGACACTGGAAATAAATCCTGAATGATACTAATATCTGTCTATCTACTTGATAGTCACAGAAATAATTGAGTCAATTTTGAGATTGTTAATAAAATTTAGTGAGCACAATCTGATCAATGACACATTCCATAACTGCCTGACATTCTATTAGATATGTACTCAATCAAATATTCATTTATGTAAATGTTTCCTGTTTCTTTAAAAAAATGGATGCAGCACAAGCAGTGCTTGGAGGAAATTTTATAGCATTGAATGCATATATTAGAAAAGAAGAACTAAGTGTCACTTGACAGATGAATGGATAAAGAAATTGTGGTATATACACAGTGGAATATTATTCAGTCTTAAAAAATGAAACTGTCATTTGTAACAACATTGATGAACTTGGAGGATATTTTGCTAAGTGAAATAAGCAAGATACTGAAAGAAAAATGCTGCATGATCTCACTTATATGTGGGAATCTAAAAAAGTTGAATACATTAAAGTAGACAGTAGAATAGTAGCAATCACAAGTGGAAAATGGAGGAAAAAGGGAGATGCTTGTCAGGGTACAAAGTTGCTGTTATTTAGAATGAAT